CTCACCTTGGCTTTGGCGTCCACATCTGCTCCATTCGCCACCAGGAATTTCACCACGTTTGTCTGTCCTGCCCTGGCAGCCATATGGAGTGCTGTCTCTCCTCTCTAAAACACACACAGAGGAAGCTTCTGGAAAAAAGGTACTACTGTGTTTGGACAGTAAGTCTTTGTGTGTGCACAGCTCTTTCATCAGACTCTGCCCCTCTGCCCAAACCGATTTGCTTTCTTTGTTTTGACTGCCTCGATGAGCTGCACCCCAACAAAGCCTAAAGCATGTTTCTACAGTAACAGTGGCTCGCTGTTGGCCCACTGTCTGTCTGATGGGGAACAGTCGAGCATGATTACAGTCTGACTGTACTCTAATTACAGTAGACTGAGGAGCTCCAACCTGCAGTCAGACGTATGTTTGAAAGTACATGGACGGAGACTGTTATTACCCTAGAAGGCTTCATGAAACGGGAGACCAAACCAATGTGGCAAGCAATGACACATTCCAGAGAGGAACACGGCTGGCCTCTGGGGCTTCGCTCAAATATTTTTTTGTTTTACTTTGGGTTTTTTTCATTATTCAAAGGAAACTTGTAAAATGGTTTGTTTGGTGCTGGTGGGGTTGGAGATGGCTGTACTCACCACATTCATCGTGTTAGGAGATGCTCCGTGATTTGTCAACTGAGTCACAATGTTTTCATGGCCCATAAAAGCGGCCACATGAATCGGCGTGAGTCCAGACTGCCAGAGACACAGAAATATGCAGCTTTGAAGCACTGGGAACTGGTCGCTAAAGCAAATATTACCTCATTTCAAAACGCACGTTTTTTGTTTTTTTTAAAACAACGGCATATTTGATTGAAATGCTTTACATCTCACTCGATTGTCAAATGCTTGATTTCTATGTATGGAAACCCATTTCTGCTTCGGATTAAAGTTTAAAATAAGAAATAAGTCACAATGTGAAACGTAAAGTTGCAAATGCTGAGAAATACAGTTGCAATTGTGAAATATGGTATTTTGCAAGTACAAGAAATAATAACAATTACTAGAAACAAAGTTACCACTGCAAGAATTAAAGACACATTGCCAGATATGAGATCTGAAATTACACTGTGAGAAATAAAGTCAAATTGTAAATTTTAAAGTTGCAATTATAGGAAATCAAGTCACTATTTTGATATATAAAGTCACGCTGCAAATTATAAAGTGACACTTTGTTATTTTTATAGTTGCATTGTCTAAAAAATGTGCAATTATGAGAAATAAAGTTGCAATTG